TGTAATTTTGCTACTGTTATGAATCGTAATGTAAGTATCTTTTTGTTTTCCGATGGTCTTAGGCGACCCCTGTGAAAGGGTCGTTCGACCCCCAAAGGGGTCACGACCCACAGGTTGAGAACCGCTGGTATATAGGTTCAGTACTATCTGTGACTTCAGGAGCCCACAGCAGGCCTTGAGTAGGGGGCACTGCTGTCCTGCACCTGGCTGTGCCTTTCCTTGCATTTATCCTTCTCGATGCTCACGGTGCTCCTAGAGCCTGTAGATACCTTTTTCCAGTTTTGGGAAATTCTTAGCTCGTCTTTGTTCAGCTATTTTGGAGTCCCATTGTCTTTCTGCTCTTCATCTAGAACTGCAATTAAAAATGTTTGACCTTTTCACTGTGTCTCTTTATGCTCTTTACTAGATTTTATATCTTTTTTATTCTATTTCATTCTAATTTCTTTTGACCTGCCTTCTAGTTCACTAATTCTCCTTTATCTCTATCTAACCTGCTATCAAACCCATCCATTGAGTCCTTAAATTTAATTTTTCTGTTTTAGAATTTTCATTTATTTGTTCGTTTTTGTTTCCAGGTCTCCCCCTCCCTAAATTTGTTAATCTCATCTTTTGGCTCCTTGAGTACATTAAGTAGAGTTATTTTAAAGTCCTTGTTGGATAACTCCATTATCTGCACCTCTGCTGGGTCTATTACCTGTTCTTTTTCATCACTTCTTATTTCCTGACATGCCTGATGACTCTTTGTTGAGTGTTGCACATTTTATGTTTAAGAAATCCTAGAAAGCTTGATGATTGGGTGAAGCACTGGATGATGTTCTCGTCTTCCACAGCAGACTGCTGGGTCAAGCGTACTAGCAGTCGTCACATCATCTTAATCCTGACAAGCGTTGGGATCGCTGCAAGTCCAGCTTCAGTTCCTCCTAGGGCTGGTCTCTTTCCTGCTCACATTTGCTGTGGGGTGTAGCTCTTCCAGGATCCAGCCCACAGCCTGGGGAATTTACGGGGGCCCATCCTCCTCTCAAAGGCCTTGAAATCCACTCTTCTCTTACAGCCCTGGGACTGTAGACAGTTCTGATCAGCTTCTCCGCCTCACAGCTGCTGTCTTCTGAGTCAGCAAATGCTTCTTGTGATGCACCTCGGGCTGAGCCCGCTTCTGGGTCTTAGCCTCATGTTTCCTCACTGCCTTGGTAGCAATTTCAATAAGCCTGTGGGGTTTTGTCCTAATATGGTGCCCGGCTCTTTAGTTCTCAGCCAAGAGTGACCTGAACCCTCAATTCCACCATCGCAGGAAATGGGACCCTCCCTTGTTTCAAGAGTACGAAGTGCAGCCTGTAGTTGGGTTTATACTCCAAGCCCTTGGGAAGCTCAGCATAGGTATTTCTGAAAAACAGGTATGACCCACGGTGCCTTTGCCTGTGAGAGTTACTAACATGGAGTTAGCGACTCAGAACAGACCAAGCCCCAGGCTCTTGGGGAGGAGACCAGAAAGGGGAATTAATTTTCTGTTCAGGACATGAGCCTTACTGGAGCTGGTAACACGCCAGTGTCATTACACCAATGTGTAAGGAACATCCCATTGATTGACTTTTCTGACTAAAATCAAATCTGCTCTGAGCCACCACTTGCCTGGGTGTTGAGCACACAGATCACTCCAGTTGCAGGGTGCAGTGTGGCTGCAATGAAGGTCAGTTAGGGGGTCTCACAGAGCCCGCGTGTCTTCTGGGAACTCCTGAGGGTCCAGCGAGGGCAGCGGTGGGGCAGGCCAGCCTGTGAGTTGTATAGACGGCCCTGTGGCCACTAAGGCAGAGCCTGGGCTCAGTTGTGAGAGAGCAGGGACAAGGGTGAGGAGGAGCCCATCAGGATATCCAGGGGAGAGAGAACCAGAAGTCAGTATTCTGAAGGAACAGTGACTGAAGGTGGTGATGGATTGGCTGTCAGGGTGAGAGGAAGGGACACCAGGGTGTCAGCCTCAGTAGCTGAGGATGTAGTGGAGCTGTTTACGAGAGGGGAGGACTGAGAAAGGACCACCTTGGGGTGGGTCGGAACTGTTTTAGACATGCTAATTTGGGGATGCCTATGAGACACCCAGGGGTTTAACAACTGGGCTTTGAGATGACTGAGTGGTGGCCTTCGCCACCTGGTGTGGGTGCTTAGTGCTGTGGGGAGAAGACCCAGAGCTGACCCCTGGATAGGTCCCAGCAGTCACTGTCAACTGGGTGGTCAAGGCCAGCTGCCAGTGGCCCAGGGAGGCCGGGGGGGTGGGGGGGGGTGCCAATTCAGCATGAAGCCAGTGGGGCTCGGCACCCCTCACTTGTACAGTGCCCCCCGCAGGGCACCAGGAGCGACCTAACAAAAGGTTCCATCATCATATGTTATAAAACTTGTCAAGTTAAAGCATTTTAACTCAGTCAGCCTCTTTGCTCTCCTGTTATGCTTCCTCTCTGGCCAGGAGCACAGGGTATCTGGGCATCTCCTGGCACCCAGATGTGGAAAACCTGAGTTAGGAATGTGTCATCTTAACTACATTTGGACATATTTTTTGCAATATTTCAATATAAATAAATTATTCCTTCCTGCTTTGGACAGACTGTCTTTTGCCACCTTTAAATTTGTTTCTTAAATGACTGAGGGAAATTTTAGATAACGAAATATGAAACAAAAGCACTAGAGATGACCACTGATATCAATAGAAATTATTGAGACATCAAGGCACAAAATATAATAGAAAAATTTTCAGATCACACCGTTCATTAAGAGGAAGAGACAATTGTCAAAAAGAAGTGATGAAGAGGATCTGGAATTGTTGGATAATTCGTTAGTGGAGACGGGAGACGGAAGTGAGCATGTTGGGAAGAGATGTGTGTTTCTCCCAGATTTGACACTTCATATTGGATGGCAATGACGAGTGAGCTCATCGCACACCCCACGAGGACCTGGATAATGTGCTAGTTCAGAGATCCTTTAGGAACTTTTAAGACTGGACGCTTCTCAAGAAAGTGTAAGCTTGTACGTGGAATAAATTTGATAGAGCATTTCCCAAATTTACAGTGATTTTAAAAGGTACAGGACGTGATCAATAAGAAATTGTAATCTGAAGAAATGCTCAGAGAGTTTGCAGTAGATAGTGAAGCAGAAACACATCATAGAGGTAGTTCAGACAATACAAATGTTATTTTTCTGGATTTATAGGATAAAAATTGCAAAGTATAGAAAAATAACAATATTTGTTGTTTATGGTATTAATCAGCTTTTTAGATGTGTAAATTGTGATTATTTTCTAATCACAAAAAAATACTCATTTTTTTACCTAATTTTGTATTCATAATTTTGAACTCTTTTTCTTAGAGCCCCCCTAGCTTAGATAAGCTTCAGGCCACCACGGTGGTGGGGTCATGGAAACTAAGAAGGAAGCCATGTGTGATGAGGATGCGACCAGCCGTGTTGTGTGTGACGTGGAGGTCGTGTATCAGGAGAGACTAGACAGCCTCTGCGTGAGCGTGGCAGGCCCTGCAGTGCTTTGGTTGCAGGTGGGAACTGCAACGAATGGGAAGGCACTGGGAACGTTCCTCCTGCAGCCTGGAACTTGCTGGGCCTGGTGCCACTGTTCAACATTGTGCTGAAGACTCTAGCGATGTAAAGCATGAAAATAAAGAAACAAAATCCATCTCTTAAGAAAGGTCCAACTACCATGATTTGCCCATGATATTGCAAATGAAATGAGTACCTATGAAGAACGTCCAAGAGAATTGACTTAGAACTAGTAAGAGAATTGAGTAAGGAGCCTGGATACAGGATGGATGGATGAAAATCAAAGTGTCTTATGCACCCAGTAACCAATTAGAAATGCAGGAAGAAAACAGATTTTAATCACAATAGCAGTGACGCTCATTCACTTACCTAGAACCTGACCTAATAAGTATATAGGTTATATGAAGGAGAGTATATTTAACTTCCCAGAAAAATAAATATAAAATGTGCCCTGTACCTGAATGACATTAATCAGTACTGTAAAAATATCAATTCTTCTCAAAGGATCCTGTTAATCTAGTGCAACCCAAAGCAAAATCCCATCTAGAGTTTTATTTTTATTGTTTATTATTATTACTTTATCATCTAGAGTTTTACAATGACCTTGACAGACTGATTCTGAAGTTCACCTGGAAAATAAACTGTCAAAGCCAAGTAATGTTTGAAAAAGAGAGGCAACAAAGGAGACTTGGCAATGCCTCATTAAAAACAGGGCTACCATGGCACATGCACACAGCTCCGCTGCGGTGATGGAGCTACCACAGCACAAGCGCACAGCACCACTACGGCAATGGAGCCAGTCTCAGAATGCGAGCTGGTAGGCCTCAGTGTGTCAGGGATTTGGATCACAATGAAGGAGGCAGCCCAGTGAGTGTGTGTGTGTGTGGGGGGGGGGGCTGGATCAGGAGTACAACAGTTGAACAGCTTTGGGGCAAGTTCATTTGGGGAATATGCTTGATGCCATACACAGAAGTAAGGAAGCAATACAAAAGAATTAGAAGAAAACACAAACTACTGCTTGGTATACGTTGGCGCTGGGAAGGTTGACTTAAGCAAAACTTAAAACCTGAAGCAATAGAGGACAAGAGGACAGAGTTGATGAAATTTAAAAAGTTAAACTGTAATACAGCCAAATAAAAAAGTGAAAACCCATGGCAAGTCAGATAAAAGTATTTGCAACATATATGACAGCAAATCACAGGTATCCAGAATATGCTAATTGTAACTCCATATAAGGCAGCACCATATGAGCTAGACCAGGGGTTGGCAAACTGCAGCTCGCGAGCCACATTTGGTACGTTCCGTCTCAAAAGTTTGCTGACCCCTGGAAGAGCCAATCCTGTCCCTCACAACAATTTAAAAATTATTCGAGAGCCATAAATATATTTTCACATAACCACCATTATGTGAATAATATCCTTTACAAGTTTTAAAAATGAAACTATGATAGTTTTATTTTCATTTTCTATTTTACTTCAGAGTGACAGTTCACGAGTCGCAGTTTGCTGCCCCCTGGCGGCTCTTCCATCTCAAAAGTTTGCCAACCCCTGAGCTAGACAATGAATATGAAGTCCTGGTGCACACGAGAGAAATATAACTGGCCAAGAGACTTTGCAAGGCCCTCAGTTCTACTGGTCCTCAGAAAATGCACATTCAAGCAACAAGAATACATTGCCTTTGGTTCATCAGTTAAAATTTTAAAGACTCATTGTTTATGGTTGGTGAGAGTTTAGGGAACTTGGTATTAGCATCCAGTGAAGATAGGAATACAAATTTATACTAGCTCACTGGAGGACACCTTGCAGTATCTATCAAAATTTAGGACACCTGTGTGTTTTTATTAGCAATTCTGGTTTTGGGTGTCTGTCCCGAGGAAGTACACAGAAGGATGTTCATTACCTCATTGCTTGTATCAGAAAAGAATTGGAAACAACGTCAATATCCAGAAGAAGGAGAATGGCCACTGTGTGCCAGTGTCCACTCCTGAGGACGGACGCCCTCAGATGTGACAAGCAGAGAGTAATCTAGTGGGGAACTTGGTCATTAAAAGGCTGGAAGGGCTGGAGGAGAGAGACGCAGGAGGTGGCACTACCCAAGCTGAGGGGCGCCCAGCACCCAGGAGCCCACAGCCACTGCCGTTCTGAAGGAAGGCCGGGGAGCAGGACTCCCACCCAGGCCAGGGCCATGCTGTCCCCTGCAGGCACTGTCCCCCAGCAGGGAGCACTGCCAGAAGCAGAAAGCATGGCTCCTCCTTTCCCCCCACTTGTAACTCCTAGTGCGCCCCATGGGTGGGCCTGGCCAGAAGCGAGTGTCCGGGAGTGTAGTTGTGGGCTTCCCACCCTGGAGTTCAGCGGCCGGCACAGGTGGAGCCGAGAGCCACCAGCTGGAAGCCTAACTCAGCAAGTGAAGTTCAGGTAATTGTGTGACATGGAGCACTGTGTGCCGATGAAAACAGCAGGGCAGCTCTGCTTCCTCCATGGACGATGACGAAGCCATGTCCCAGGACAGGATGTGTGTCTTACTGGGATGGGAAAACTGCGTGTGTGTACATAGACACGTGGTTCATACTAACTGTTGCATACATGTACAGAGAAGAGTCAGCACAGCAGGCCTGAACGACCATCCTCAGAGGCCCGCCTGGAGGGTGGAAAGAATCCAGATGTGGAGGCCACCTTTGAAGTGTTTCTGTTTTACTCTAATTGTTTAAATATTTAATGATGACACTATTAATTTATTACTTGTAACTTTAAAAATACATAAATAATTTTTTTAAAAGATGCTAGGGACCCAGTGAACTGGCATGGGTTAATATGGGTGGGGATGCTGTCTGAAGTCAGGAACTTGCATTTTGCAGTGGAAAGGCCAACCAGATGACTCAACGACTTCCCATTGCTCGATTTAGCATCACCTAAGGTCGATGCGTCGAGGTTAACTGTTTATGTCACACATTATCTGCCTCTCCCTTTCTGCTTTTTCACTGTGGAAACAAGGTAGAATGAGAGAGACACTAAATACAAATATAATATCCTCATAGATTGATATTCATGTGCTTAAAAAACTAATTCATGTTATTGTACTTCTAAACAGAAATTCTATACATCTGCTAAAAAGAACAAAACAGCTTTATATAAACTGATATGGAAGGGCCGGCCAAGTGGCTCAGTTGGTTAAGAGCTCGCTCAAGAGTTTGAGCTCTGAGCAACAGCGGTTCGATGCCAGCCCGAGCTGAGCAGCCGCTAAGCTACCAATAGGTAGCAGGATGGCTCAGCTAAAAAACAAACAAACAAACAAACAAAAAACAAAAACAAACAAACAAACAAAAAAATTTCATAAACTGATATGGAATAATTAAGAAATATTAAATGAAAAAAAACCAAGGTGAAGATGTGTTTATAAATTTTTTCCTGGTGTGTGTGCGTGCACACACACATATATACATGTATGAAATGCTTGTTTATTTTTAAATTTATGGAATCTATTATATTCTCATAATTTGGGGAAAATAGACACCCACAAACAGATGCTCGTAAAAGAGGTGTAACCCGGAAATGAAATGGAACAGCCCGCTCTCGCAGCTGCGAAGCTGTAAGGTGGAATGTGTGGCTTTTCTTCTTTCAGGTATGAAAGCTGGACTCCCAGTGTGGTGGCTGTGTCCTGCGGCAGGGCTCGCCAGCACGCATCTATCCATATACACATGTACATGTACACATATGTACACACACACACACACACACGTATAACTCAACGGAGTCGAACACACATTTTATTTTTTCTTCCCCATGCCTTCCCCCCACCTTTGAGTCAAGCCGCTGTTCTTAGTCTCACTGTGGAGGACGCAGCTCACTGGCCCATGTTGGTGTTGTGAGCATCGAACTCGACCCGTTCAAGGCAGTCGGTCGCAGCCCACGGCAGCCCAGCTCCAGGTCGAGCTCTTGATCACAACCTTAGCTGTAGAGGGCTGAACTCACTGGCCCATGTGGGAATCGAACCTGCAACCCTGTTGTTCAGAGTTCTCTACTGAGCTATCCAGCCGCCCCACACACACTATTTTCAAGTGCACATGAAACATTCAACAAGATACATCATAGCTTATGTCATAAATCAAACTCTAGCCAATTTAAAAGAATTGAAATCACATATGGTATATGACATAATGGTATTAAGCTACAAACTCCTAACAAAAAGATAACATGAAATTCTCCAAAAACTTAAAAATTAACCAGTTCAATTCTAAATAGCTTATAAGTCATATACACATACACATATACATATACAAAGAGGAAGTCTTGGGAAATTAGAAAATATTTTGAACTAAAATGTCAAAATTCATGAGAAGCAGATAAGGCAGTACGGAAATATATAGCACTAAATGCTTACATTACAAATAAGATAGGTCCCAAATTAATTAAGCATCCACCTAAGAAACTAGACAATCAAGACCAAAAAATAAACCCAAAGTAAGTAAAGTGAAGGAAATAATGAAGATAAGAACAGATATCAACAAAATTAAAAACAACAGAGAAAAATCAAACCAAAAGCTGGTTCTTTGAAAATATCAATATATTGCTAAGTCTCTAACAAGACAGACAAGAATAAAAGAAAGAAGACATGATTTACCAATCTTAGGAAAGAGAGGATATCACTGCAGACCATGAAGACGTGAAAAGGATAAGAAGGGAATACTATAAATAACCAAACACACATAAACTGACAACTTAGGTGAAATGGACCAATTCTTCAAAAACCACAAACTTGCAAAACTCACTCAAGATGAAATAGATAGCTGGAATGGTACTTACAATATGTGGGTTTTTTTCCAACAACACCAAGCAATTCTCCAATTTTCCGCAGACACTGACCCGATGTCCCACAAATGTGGCTCAGTTCTGACACTATCGACCTGGAGACAGCACCAGGTCCCACCGTTAAAGGCTCAGTCCCACAAGACTGCCCCCACCTCAGATGCCAATCCAGGTTGTCACCTCCGCGTCTGACCAACTGGCTATGAATCATCAGAGGTTCCCACAACCCCCTCCTCAGATTCGATTAATTGGCTAGTGTGGCTCACGAAACTCAGGAAGCCACTTTACGTACTGGATTTCCGGTTTATTAAAAAGGATTTTAAAGTCTACGAATGAACAGCCAGGTGAAGAGATACACAGGCCAAGGTCTGGAAGGGTCCCCAACAAAGGAGTTTTAGTCCCCGTGGAGTTTGGGCCCTGGGGCCTGATGCATGGATGCTTTCTTTCTAGTTCTCCAACCTGGAAACTCTCTGAGCCCCTCCTTTTGGTTTTATTAGGGAGGCTGCAACCCTCTAATCACGGTTGGTTTCCCTGGCAACCAGTCCCCCTTCTTAGGAGATTTCCAAAAGTGCCCTCATTATTGTAAGCTCAGGTGTGGTTGAAAGGGGCTTGTTACGAACAACGAGACACCCATTTCACCTTCTCTGCTCTGAAACGATTTTAAGAACTGATGGCAAAGACCAAGTATTGTAACAAAAGATGCCCCCATTGCTCTTATCCCTTAGGAAATTCCAAGTGTTTGGGGAGCTGTGAGCCAATTGTGGAGGAAAACCAAAATATGTAGTGATTACAAATCACATCACAATCCTATAACCATTTTAAAAATTGAATTTATAGTTACACCTACTAAAAAATCTCCAGTCCCAGATGGTGTCAATGACAAGCTCTGTCAAGCATTTAATGAGGTAACACCAGTTCTATTCAGTCTGTTCCAGAAAAATAGAACAGGAGGGAACATGTCCAAGTCATACTATGGGGACAGTATTACCTTGATCCCCACACCTAAGAGTGTACAAAAAAACTAAAGAAAATCACAGGCCAATATTCCTCATGAACCAAATGCAAAAATCCTCAACAAAATATAATTATCAAACTCTGTAGTATATTAAAAAGAATAATGCACCACAACTAAGTAGGGTTTATCCTGGGAATGCAAGGTTGGCTCATTAGTTGAAAATGAGCCATTATAATCCATTGTGTTAATGATCTAAAAAGGGAAAAGCACACATCATATCAATTGATGCAGAAAAAGACTTGACAGAATCCAACACCCGTTCATAATAAAAACTCTCAGTAAAACAGGAACTTCCTCAACCAAATAAGGGGTATTTACAAAAACCTACAGCTTACGTCACACATAATGGCAGAAGACGATGTTTTTTTCCCCTGAAATTAGGAATAAGACAAAGAAGTCTGCTCTTCCCACTCTTACTCAGCATTATATGGGAAATCCTTGCTACTCCAGTGAAAAAGAAAAGTACATAGGCCAGAAAGGAAGAAATAAAACTATCTTTATTCACAGATGTTATGATTATCTGTGTAGAAAACCCCAAGGAATTTATAAGAAAACTTGTAGGACTAATTTGTAAATTTGGCAATATCTCAGGATGCAAGATTGTGACAGAAAAATCATAATTGAAAACAAGAAATGTTTAAAATACCATTTACAATAGCTCAGAAAGATTAGGTACTTAGGTATAGATCCACAGAAAATGTGCACCGGATCTGTACATAAAAACTACAAGTTACGAAGAAAGAAAATGTAAAGGCTTAAATAAATGGAGAGATAGACCATGTTCATGGATTGACTCAACATAGTAAAGATATCAGTTCTCATTAAATTGATCTATAGATTAATTATAATTCCAATCAAAATCCCAGCAGGACTTTTTGTAGACAAGCTGATTCTAAAATTTATATGCAAAGTTGGCAAAACTGGAATAGCTTAAACAATTTTGGAAAAGAAGAATAAAGTTGTGAGAATCACATTACCCAATTTACAAACTTACCCTCGAGCTGCAGTAATCAAGGCAGCGGGGTTTTGGTGAAGGGGGATGTATCCGAGCAGACCAACGGGACAGACAGAATAGAGAGCACAGAAGGGACCCACACAAATACTGCTGATGGGTGTTTGACAGAAGTGCAGAGGCAGTCGAGAGAGAAAAGACAAAGAGTTTGCAGCAACTGGACATTCCTATGCAAAAAAAAAAAAAGAATCAATCTAAAACTTATGCAAAATTTAACACAAAATCGGTCATGGGTCTAAAAATAAAATATTAACAATAAAACCTTTAGATAAAAACATAGGAGAGTCTTAGTAACCTGGAGTTAGACAGAGTTCATAGATTTGACACCAAAAGCAAAACCCATCAAAGGAAAATGTGCTCCTGTTGTTAGAAATGCCCAGAAGGACGGCATGGAGAGCACTTGGCAGAAGTAAACATCCCGCAGAAGAAGCGTGCATACCTGACGCACACGCAGTGACGCAGGTGCAGCCCTGCCTGTGGTGGCAGGAAGGTGGGGCCATGGGAACGCCCTCAAGAGAGAGTAGCTGCATGCAAATCCTCACTGCATTACAGATGGACACCAAGCATCGCTCAGGCAGCGAGTGTCCAAGTGTGCCTCTGGGCTGCACAGGCCAGGCGGAGGCTGCCCGCCAGGGAGGTCCTGCTGACCGCGGGAGGCAAGGTGGTGTGAGTGGCAGTAAGCCAGCGGTCAGCTTGCTGTGTGTGCCCAGGCTGCACACAGCTGGGCTTGTGCAGTTACTGCAGATGCTGAGAGTATGTCGGGAAGGATGGCACGCCGTGTGCATGGGTTTTCTTGGAGGGCACGTGTGCTGCTGCGTGCACCGGTGGCAGAGGCACAGTGTAAGCCACAGAATGGAAAGGAAGAAAGGCTGTGGTTTTAGAACCAAATAAAGATCTCGTTTATGTATACATGCAGAATTGTATGGATGCATGGGTGTTGTCCCCAGGTGCTGGTCCTGGGCTGGGCGTTGTCCCTGGCGCTGGCCCTGCGCTTGTTTGCATTTTGGCTCCTGTGATTTCCTTCCCCCACGCCTACCCCTGTGGACAAGATGCTCCTTCCAGTGGGAGGTCTGGAAGTCTGAAGAGCCCCCGGGGCTCTTCACTCAGTTTCCTCTGTCCTTTAACAAGCTGTGACTGCCACGGTCAGGCTGTGGGGGGATCAGCTCTGCTCCTGGTGGACTGCAGGGCAGATTGGAGCTGGCTCTTTAGCTGCCGGGACCTCCCGGCCCTGGTTTTCCGGAAGGCTCGTGTTGGGTGATGTCATTTTTCTTGCAAAAGCTGTGAATTGAAAAGTCACCTTGAAGGCCAGCCGAGTGGCACATTGGTTAAGAGCTGGCCTGGGACGCCAGAGGACCCCGGTTCGGATCCCACATATGAGGGCCAGTGACATGCCCTCTACAGCTAAGATGCTGAACAACAGCTCAACCTGGAGCTGGGCTGCTATGAGTCATCTGAGACGGCATAAGCTGCAGCCCTTGCTGCAATGGGTTGCCAGGGGCTACCGTATGTAGCCAGCAGCCAGCGTGAGCTGCCAGCAGCTGCTGTGAGCGGCCGTCCAGAAGCCGGCAACTGATGTGCCTCACCCGGGAAGAGCGCAATGATGGTGCCAACTTGGGCCAGTGAAGCAACGTCCTCCACAGCTAGACTGAAGAACAAAACAACAGCAACTTGTCTGTTGCCCTTCCCCCAATTCCCCAATAAATAAAGAAAAAGATAAAGAAAAGCCACCTTGAGCTGTGGGTCAGCACTGGCTGCTTTGTGCCTGGGCTGCTGGCTCCAGCATTTGCTTTCTGGGCTTTCTGGACATGGCCTTGGGGGGACGAGGTGCCCGTTCCTTCTGTTTTGCTCTTTGAGGCAATGACCGTGTGGCCAGCGCCAAAGGACCACGAGTTGGTGTGTCCATGATGACCTCCAAACAGGAGGCCTGAGGGAAGCTGTAGGGCCCAGCATGAGGACTGGAGCACAGGGTGTGCGAGCACATGGCCTGCCACCCCTGAGGGCAGAGGACACCGTTCTCAGGCCGTGGGGACGCAGCCCTGGCGAGCTACCTGAGGGGGCTGAAGTGGCTGCACAGGGAGGGCCGCGGGGCCCGTTTGCTAATTCAGCTTTTTGTTTGAAACTTGGTAGATTCATCTGAAGCTGTAAGAAATAATATAGGGAGGACCCTAACCCAGCCTCCCTGGTAACATCCACGCCAGACGTCTGCATGTGCAGTGGACTCAACCAGAAGGTGGCCCCAACAAAGACATCATCACCTCCAGAGTCCCTCCTGCCGCCCTCACCCTTAACCCCTAGCACCCACCACTCTGTTCTCCATCTTCATAATTTTGTCATTTCAAGAGTGTCATATGAGGTCTGACGATTAAGTTCGCGAAGTTGTTGCAACAATGTTAACCTTTTTTGATGTCAGAGGGATTATTCATTATGAATTTGTACCAACTGGACAAACAGTTAACCAGGTTTACTATCTGGAAGTGCTGAAAAGGCTGCATGAAGAAGTTAGACGACCTGAACTTTTCACCAATTCGTGGCTCTTGCATCATGACAGTGCACCAGCTCACACGGCACTGTGTGTGAGGGAGTTTTTAGCCAGTAAACAAGTAACTGTATTGGAACACCCTCCCTACTCACCTGATCTGGCCCCAGTGACTTCTTTCTTTACCCGAAGATAAAGGAAATATTGAAAGGAAGATATTTTGGTGACATTCAGGACATCAAGGGTAATAACAATGAACAGCTCTGATGGCCATTCCAGAAAAAGAGTTCCAAAATTGCTTTGGAGGGTGGGCTAGGTTCTGGCATCAGTGCAGCTTCCGAAGGGGAGGACTTCGAAGGTGACCATAGTGATGTTCAGCAATTAGGTATGTAGCACTTTTTCTAGGATGAGTTCATGAACTTAATTGTTATACATGGAGTCTTACAGTGTGTGGCCTCTGGGACCGGCTTCCCCGCTCAGCCCGGTTCTCTGTTTCTGCTCAGCTGCCTCTCCTTCCTGCTGCTGACTAGTGTCCAGTGGGTGCACCGCGTCCCCTGCTGAAGGACATCTCAGTTGTTCCGTTAGGGGCCGTGATAGACACCGTGCGCAGGACTGTGTGGACCGAGTTGTCATTTCTCTGGGGTCAGTGCCCCAACGTGCAACTGCTCGGTGGGATGGTGGCTGCTCAGCTGCTTCCCCGGGGGCTGCACTGATTCCAACTCCCACCAGCATGACTGACCCCTCTGCTCCACGTCCTCACCAGCTTTGGGTGTTGTCACTGTTCTTTACTGTGTCCACTGAGAGGCAGCAGTGGCCCCTCGTGTCTGGGATGGGAGCGGTCGGTGCTTGTGGGCCGCTGTCCGCAGTCTTCTGCCCGTTTTGTGATTGGAATGTTAGGGTGTTTACTGTTGGGCTCCCCGACCTCCTTCTGAATTTTGTTGGCCATGGGGTCTGCAGACGCCGTCTCCCAGCTGCAGCCATCCTCTCACCTGCCCAATGGAGTCTTTTGCCAAACCAAAGTGTTTAATTCTGACATGGTCTGTTTTGCTGGGGAGGTCGGGCAGGTCTGCTGTGTTGTCACAGTTTGTGAACCGCGGTGTCTCCATCTGTTTGGGTCATCTTTGATTCTTTTATCAGCATTTTTCAATTTTCTGCCTACAGTTCTGTACACATCTGGTCGAATATACACCTGAGTACCTCCTTTCGAGGCCCTGGTTGTAAACGGCTTTATGTTGCAGCTCTGGCTCCGTGTCCCGTGGTGGGTCGGCCTTATATTCCCGATCTCACTGAGCTCAGTCGTTCCAGGCATGTATTTGTTGATACCTGGAGGTTTTCTACGTAGTCAGTCATGTCCTGTGCAAGTTGGGACATTATTCCTTCCTTCCCCAGCCTGTCTGTTTGTCCTTGCTTTATGGAAATGGCAGGAACTCGCAGGCCTGCCCCAGTGCCGCTCTGTTGGGGTGGCGGTTGTAGCGGTTAGCTTCTGGGTCTGCCTCTGGCTCCCCTGGCTCCACCCACAGAGAGTGAAGGGGCCCAGATCTCCTCAGAAACCGAGCAGATGGACCTGGACGTGCACCCCCCTTTCACAACCACATCGTGTCCTTGACTGCTATGGAGCAAGTTAGGAGACTCGTGGGACGCAGGGGGTCCAGGGGCTGTGAGAGCCCTTGGGGGGGAGAGCGGGGGACAGCGGCAAACAGAATAATGCCACATGGTGGAGGCGTTCTCCACGACGCAGGAGACCTGGGGTCTGGAACTACGAGGAGGCGCAGGACGAGGGACTCCTGGCGTCACTGAGCGAGCTGAGCCCTGAGGGGTGGCACAGCCCTGGCCACATGAAGAACAAGGGGTAGAGGGATGGGGGACACAGGTGGGAGGTGCTGGGGGCCAGGCCCGGAGGGGCACGGCCCGCGTGCGTGTCACTGGCCCGAGGGCTATGCAGGGTGGGGCCAGGCGGCAGAGACCAGGCTGGACCAGGACAGACACAGACGGACTGAATGAGGGTCATGGTGACACCCAGTTTTGATGTTTTTAGTCATATTTCTGCATTTTTTTGCTGCTTCTTTTAGACAATTTCCATGACTTATAAAAACAAACCGGTATGGGGAGCCCCAGGCTGCGTCAGTGCGTCCAGCGTTCGGGCCTCGTGCCATCCAGTCTCTGTGCTCACCACACACACACTCACACACACACACCCTCAGCGGCAAGTGTGCGACAGTACACCCAGGACATCTGGTGTCACCCTGTGTGTACACAATCCTTTCCACACACGACGACGACGCCGTCACCACACTGTCACTGCGTCCCCGAACCCCCACTCAGTGTTCATATCACCCATCCGCCCCACAGCTGTCTGAACAGCCTGTTCCAGCCAGAGGCCTGTGAGGGCTACGTGGGAGGAAGGCCCTGCCTGTGGGGGACACTGTGGGAGGGTCGGCAGTGCAGCTGCTGCGGGACAGCTTCCGGTGCCCCCACAGCGAGCCTGGCAGGTGCCAAAGGCCCACGTCTCGAGGACGGAGGGACCAGGTGGAGGGCGGCCAGGCACCCGTGGATGTGTCTCCCCAAGGTAGCCGCCTGTACCTCCCTCATCTGTCTAACGACGAGGCATCAGCACTCCTCCACCAAGTGGGGCTCCGTGCGCCCCTGAACCTGGGTGGCCCTGTGACCACCTTGGCCCAGAGAGTCTTGCTGTGTCGCTGTTGACCTCTGAGGCTGGGTCAGGGGGACTCAGCCTCCACCTGCCCCCGGAGCCCCGAGCCACCACCCCAAATGTCAATCACTGTACGGCCGCCATCTGCAGGCATAGTGCAGACAGGAGCCCAGGGTGTGAGGACGAGCTGGAACCAAACTCAGCAAGGTTTCCAGAAGGGGCCAGATGGTGGCCCCTCCTGTCCAGGACAGCAGCCTGTGGACAGCGGACGAATGCGTGTGGCTGTGCTGGGCCTGCGAGCCTCTGGCGCAGTGCGGGGACTCGTCTTGTGGTGCCCGAGAGGGTGAGGCGTGGCGCAGAGGAAAAGCTGTCCGAGTGAAAGGAAAACGGGGGAACAGGCTTTAACGAGACTTAAGCCTTTCACTCGGCCAAAGACTGGACGAGGATGAGAAGGAAGGTGCAGAGCGGGAGAGAAGGCCTGCGAGCCAGTCATCGTAGAAAGGACTCCCGTGGAATTAGAGCCGAGAGTTCTCAGAACTCAGTAAAACAAATGACCCAATAAAACATGGGCACAGGATCCAACAGACTTCCACCAAGAATACACACGTACACATCATGTATGTGCATCTCTACAGTAGACGCTCATGACAAGGCTCGGTATCACAACAGCGCAGGAACACCGCACACCCATGGGACCCGCCATGACCTGGAGCCCCGGCAACACCGAGTGCTGGCAAGACGTGGAGCCGCAGGAACTCCTGCCACAGCTGGGGGCGGGGCGCAGGCCGGGCGGCCACTTTGGAGGACGGGGTGGCGGCTTCTGGCAAAACCCCACAGCCTCACATACGGCCCCAAAGTGTCACAGAGGTTCACCCAGCTGATGTGAAACACCTGCCCACAGACCTGCGTGGAACATTCCTCTGTGTTGGTGATGGCAGGGAAGTGGACGCAGCGGCCAGCCCAGATGCCCGTCCGCGAGGAGTGGGAGGCTAGTCGGCGACAAAGACGAGAGAGAGGTGACGCGCTCAGTGCATGGATGTGCTTGATGCACTGGGCTGAGTGACGGGAGCCAGACCCGTGTGTGATTCATTCGTAGGACGTTTCAGAAAAGTCAAACCAAGGGGTGGGGAGGGGCAGGACTGGCGGGGGCTGGCAGCGTGGGACCCGAGGGGCGCTCGAGGGAGCGGTGTAGTGGAGGTGCAACGCAGCATGAAACCCCAAAGATGGAACTCTAACATGCACAAACCAAAAAAACAATGAAAATCAAAACGCGTCCAACTGTCCACCTGAGGCATTGGCGTTTCATTATATGTAGACTTGACTCTCAAAAGTGTGAAGCACTGAAGTGCCCTGAAGATGTCACTGGTGTTTGGCTGATTTCTTTTTTTATCCTAAAGTTTAATTAAGGTTCAGAAAAAATAAACTGGTTCTGTGTAGGTAGCAGTCCCTTGGGGGCTGGTAAGTCACATGGCTTGTTTTCTTCTGAGAATGACAAGAAGTCTTGCTTCCAGTCTGATTAGAGGGGCTGTGTGACACAACCAACAGCTGGCCACAGACAGGGCACACAGGGTACAGAGGGCACTGCAGGCTCAGACGGCGCTCGGTCACGGTGGCCTCCTACGGTGTTAAGGGTGCATGTGACCTGGGTGTCACTGAGTCACACCTGTTGTGTCATTAGGGTTTGTCAGACAAAACAAAACCAGTCAGCAGTTGTCCCCTTTCCCAGGTGGCAGTCCTGTCCTATGTGCTCTCTGCCTATTCCATGTACAACCCGAGTGTCCCCCATAGCCTGCGTGCTGGCCCGGGCCCTTGCATCTTAAAACAGAGAATTTGTCACCAAACGGGACAGACAAGTTAGGACTCCAGCTCACACTGTCACCAGGATGCAAAGTGGGTGGCTGACACGGAACAGGCTGGGGCCCCCTCCCTGTCTCAGACTAGGATGGCCCTCGTGCTGGCCCCAGTGCTCCATCTGCAGTTAACGAGGCAGCGCGGGGCCGTGAGCATCACTGTTGTCACAGCCAATGCCACCAGACCAGTGGTCACACTTAGCAGGGACCAAGGTCCCCAGTAACCCCGACCCGACTCCATAAGAGTGCAGCGGGTAGCCAGGCAGGCGGTCCCCCAGGAACCTGCCCCCGAGGAACACCAGATGAGGCTACTTGGCTGTCTTCCGGCCGGCACTCATGGTGGGCTCTCCAGATCCCACCACCCAGCATGCCTCACTGAGGGGACCCCAAGGACAATACCTGCAGAGCACGGGGCTGCTGCAGCGCTGGTGCCTGGGCTGACGGCGCATCTCAGTGGCCCCACGGCCATCCTCACCTCTGCCCTCCTGGGCTTGGTGAGCGTGGGCATGCTGGAGTCTGCCCAGGAGCCCGTGGAAAGCTGGGACACGGGTGTCAGGGAAGGGGGGTGTCCTTTCACGGCACCAGCCAGGGGCGCAGGCATCCCGCTGATGTTCCTGAGTGAGGATGACACCTTCTGGGCGCCAGTCCAGCTAATGACCAAGAGGCACGGTAAGTGGGCACAGCCCACCACAGGACGTGTCTTGCACCCCAGGAGAGCCGCCCTGCAGGTCCCCTAGCAGTGGGGCTCGCGGGGACCCCCACCCAGTCCATCTCCCGTCAGCAAAGGGCACTGCCCCCCATATTGCCCCAGCCCCACCCTCAGGACCACCTTACACCCCACACCTGCCTCACATCCGGCCGCCCACCCAGCTGCCCTCCGGGCCCACGGCCAGTGGAAGCCCAGCCGGCCATGCACCCCCTCCCACGTGCCCCAGCCCGGCTCCTGAGCCCAGGTGTGGCCTGCACCCCACCACCCTGTGACTGGCACTCTCCGCCCATCGATGCTGGGACCAAGCCCCCCGCTGTGGCCAATGTGGGAGGGGTAGACAGGGCTAGGATGTCTGTCTGACCCTCAGCACAGAGCACCCCGTGCTGGGACTCGGTGAAGGGGCCTTTGGCCCCTGCCCTCCCCTCACCCAGAACCACAGCCAGTCCTGCCCTTTGGGAAGTGTGTCCCACAGACCTCAGGGCCATGGACACTAGGCAGGGCAACTGTGTGGGAGAGGGCGCCTTGGGTTCAGCAAGGGGCACTTGCTAGTAACCAGCCCTCCCTGGCGGCACAGGCTCTGACCTGTTGGGGTTCTGGGGGCTGATTCATTCCAGGCCAGCAGCAGCCCTCCTGAAGCTGCACTCCAGCAGCACTGGTGTCCCAGGCAGGGCATCTGGGTGCGGGCGCGGCCGCACGGGCCCTGCAATAGCGAGGTTTTTGCCAGCCAGGCGGCCCTGAGCAACGTTGCCCACCATTAAGACGAGGAACAGGTGTCCACTGGGGTTCACTCCAAGTGCTTCCCTCAGAGAGCTTCACTGACGGGGTGAGGCTGCCCAGGAGATGCTCCCGGGCCCCAGTGCCCAGGATGGGCCACTCGTACAAGCCAGGCCCCATCCTAGGGAAGCCCAGAGCGGGGAGGCTGAGCCCCAGCCCCCCATGCAGCCAGTGTCTGCTCCTGGGGTGCATTCCCATGAGTGTGGCAGTCTGCTGCCCCCAGGTTAGCAGTCGGGCTGGCCTCGCCCTAACACCAACTGGACTTGGGAGCACCTTTGTCCAGGAGCCACGTCGCCACCTGGGTGACCTCCCAGGTGAGGAGGTGCCTGTTAGATGCAGCTCAGGGGCACAGCCCAGATCAGGGGCAGACAGGCCAGTCTCTGCACAGGCTGCCCCTCGACACCCACTGTCCTTACAGACCTTTGTGTCGCTCACCCTGAAGCTCTGGGGCACCTACATCCTGGAGGGCAAGCACGTGCTCATAGCCACAGCACAGTTCTAGTGCCAGGGTGGGGACAGTGGCACAGGGGTTGGCCGCAGCATGGGGGCAGGGCACCCTCTGAAAAGCAGAGCAGTGGGGGCCGTTTGCTGGCCACCTCCCCTTGCACTGCCTGTGGCATTCTGGGGCAGAGCTGGACCCCTCAGTGTGGCACCCTTCAGGACACAGCAGGATCTACGCAAGGTGACCTGATAGGTAGGTAGGGACCTGAGGCCCCCCAGTGGGGCCCCTCCTGGCCTGACCGCACACCCTCGTCCAGGCACCTTCAGGCCTCGATGGCCGAGCTACAGAGGACGACACACCACACCCCCCTCCAGGTGGGCCCCAGCACAGGGTCCCCTCCTGGGGCAGTGAATAGCGGGAGAGTCCCCAGCATCTCCTCTTCTGCTCTAATTTTCAGAAAATCAAGCCAGGGCTGGGCATCAGGGCAGACTCCTGGAGGGCTGTTCAGGGTCAGGCCAGGGCAGCCACCATGATATGCGGGGCCCCACCCAGCGCAAACCACAAGGCCTGCGGGGGAAGGCTCACCAGTCAGCTCCCTTCCCGGAACCTGAAGACTTCCCCTTGATGTCTCTGGGCCTGGAGTGTCCCCAGCACCCAGACACTCTCCAGAGGACAAGCCCTGCCCAGCCCAGCCAGGCTGTCCCCAAGGCTGGAAAGTGACATGAGGTGGCCTCTGCAGGGCCCAAAGTTGCCTGCCTTCCCCTGAGGGGTCCAGAGGCCCTCCGTCTGGCCTGCCTGCCCGCAACCCAGGGCAGCTCTGGGGACCAGCTGCAGTCAGCGTGATGGAATTCCCTCCCCAACCTGACAATGAATCCAGAGACTGGGGGCAGGTGGCCCCGGACATCGGCTTTGAGTCACAACACTGGGTCCCTTTCCCCTTAACACCTGCCTGGGCCACCCCGGGGGCCCAGTGACAGGCCCCACACAGCCTGCCAAAGATGGAACCACGGGGCCCAGGACAGCCCTGCACGTCCACAGGAAGCTGGGTGCCTGGAGTCGCCAGAGGGGGCGGTGGTCGCCAGAGTGGTGCCCCGAGACCCTGGCCAGCCAGCAGCATGCCTCTTGATGCTGGCCTTCCCGATGGACAGCAGTCCCCACACGCGTCCCTGACCAGAGGGGCCTGGCCTGAACATAGGCCCTGGATGGGCAGGTGCGCCATGAGGCCCGCCCCCCCTCCCCCCAAAGCTGGGAGGACTTGAGCCCCCTATGGCCCTGGCCAGTCCTGGATTCTGGCCCAAGGCAGGGCGAGCCCTCTCGGAGCAGCATGTGGCCACCAGTGACCTGAGGCAGTCTGGGAGCAATAGGCTACCCCGGCGGTGAGGTGGCAGGAGCAGGTAGGCCAGCTCCACCCCCACACAGGGCAGCAGGGTTGGCTAGACTAGGGCCCTGAGCAGCCACCCAGCACGGAGTGAGCAGAGGCCCAAGGCCAAGCCAAAGACGCTGGAGTCTGGCTCTGAGAACCCGCCAGCTGCTGCCCCCGGCTGGGCTGGGGACACTGGTGGCATGGCAAGGACCCAACAGGCCAGGCCCTGCCCCCTGCTGGTCATCAGCTGCCTTTCAGGGTTCCCAAAGCTCAGGAATTGCAACCCCACCTGCAGTTGGGAGGTTCCCAGGTGGCAGACACTAGCCCTCCCCGCCCTCTGGTTTCAGCATTTCCTAAGGCTTCCTCCCAGGGGGATGGATGCGCCCTTGGTCTCAATTCGCGTCGCTGTCAAAGGTCGGTGAAGTCTTTCTGTGGTGAAATGCAGACCAGCCTGTTGCTGCAGCACCCGGGGCTCTGCTGGAGGCAGCGGGTGCCCCAGGAGGCAGAGGCGCCTCCAACGCTCCGCACGGAGCTGAGCTGCCGCCGTGCTGCATGGGAGACCACACACGCCGCGGCCACCCAGCCTCGGCCAGACGCCAGGGTCAAGACCATCAAATAATTTACTGCATTCAACCTGCGCCCGACGGGCCAGGACGGGCAGGGAGGAGGGACGGCTGGGGCACCGGTGGCAACAGTTCATGACAGTCTGTGAAAGCGTCCTGGGAGGCCTGCGGTCACTCTGTCCACCGACCCTGGGCTGGCCGGGCTCTGGCGGGACTTCCTTCCTTCCCTCCCCCCAGCATCCGGCACCTCCAGGCCCGCTCCCGTGGGGGCGGGCACAGGGGACAGACGGGCACTCAGGAGAGCAGGCACTTGCAACTCATGCAGCCGGGGCCGCCCTCGTCTGGCGGGCTCAGCTTGCGTAGCTTGTGCTGCCGGATCTCACGCACCAGCGTGTAGAAGGCGTCCTCCACACCCTGGGGACAAGAGGCCAGCTCAGAGGGGAGGCCCGGAGACCTAGGGACCCTGCCACGGGCTCCGGCAGAGTCCCAGCCCCTTCCCCGCCCGCACCCATAGGCAGGGAGCCGGGCCTGCTCACCCTGCAGCCCCAGGAACCCCATGGGACATCTATCTGCCCCTCAGCAGCTCCCCATAGGGCAGGGCAGCCCCAGGTCTGTGCCCACGCCCATCTGAACTACTGCCTTGTCCCCAACAGCCCACTAAGGGGACAGGGCCGACAAGAGGCCCACGGGGTGCTCTGGGGGGAGAGGGGCTGGGGCCCCAGGGTCACCGCTCCGGCCTGGCTCAGGGCAGCTCTCTCTAGGGATCTCCACCTCCCCCTTGAGCTGTTGCAGCCCAGACCCCGGCCCTGGCCTCCCTCGCTGCCCTGCTGTCCCGGGAGACTTACAGCGCGAGGGGCCGCTGGGTCCCGGGGTCCCGGAGCTGGAGCCAGAGCGGCTGCCCTGTGTCGAGGGAGAGGGGCGGTGAGCGCGGCTCCCTGGCGGGGCGGGCGGGGGCCCTAGCTACAGGTGGGCAGGGAGCCAGCTCACCTGGCGTGTCTTGGCTGAGGTCTCAATGTAAGGGGTGCCGTAGCTGCGGGCCAGGTCCTGCGCCTGCCGAGACTCCACAGTGCGTGCAGCCAGGTCACACTTGTTCCCCACCAGCACCATGGGCACGTCGTCCGAGTCCTTCACCCGCTTGATCTGCTCCCTGCAAGGAGGACGGTGTGAGCCGTTGGCAGGCTGCGTCCAGGGCACGCAGAGGGGACGGGGGTCCACAAGGGTGCTGGCAGCTCACCGGTACTGGTGGATGTCCTCGAAGGACTTGGTGTTGTTGATGGCGAACACGCAGAGGAAGCCCTCGCCGGTGCGCATGTACTGGTCGCGCATGGCGCTGTACTCCTCCTGGCCCGCCGTGTCCAGGATGTCCAGCAGACACGTCTCCCCATCGATGACCACTTGCTTCCGGTAGGAGTCCTGCGCGGGGACACTGCTTAGGAACCCCCATCCCTCCTGGGACAGAGCGTGTGCACCACCAGCCCCTCCTTGCACCTCTTGTGCCCCCAGGTCCGAGCACGAGGGTGCCCCTCGGTGCGGCGGGCAGAAGACAAGCTTGTGTCAGGGCTTGGGGCTGGGCGGGGGTCGACCCCGCTCACCTCGATGGTGGGGTCGTACTCGTCCACGAAGTGGTTCTGGATGAGCTGGATGGTCAGGGCACTCTTCCCCACGCCGCCAGCGCCCACCACCACGAGCTTATACTCCGTCATGGCGCCTCCAGACACTCAGCACGAGGCACTGTGGTGGTGTCCTATCCCACCTGCTGAGGGAATCCCATCAGCCATGCCGGGCCCCACAGGGCAGGCCTTTGAGTTCTCCGAGCCCATCTGTCCAGGCCTGGCCTGCCCTCTGGGCCCCAGCCTCAGGCGTCAGGGTGGCAGCCTACCACTCACGGTGGCCCCTCCAGCCCAGGGGTGGGACAGAGATCCTGCCTCCAGCTGCACTTCACGGCTGTGAGAGGCGGGGAGCTGGTCCCCCAAGGGCAGGACTGACAGCTGAGAGCATCTCCCAACCACGCACCCAAATTAGAAGTTGCTGAGTAGGCAGAAAGCCTGAACTGGAGGCGCCCAGGCTGAGGTCACCAGTCCCCCCTCCCTACGGGAACAGGTCCTGCCACGGTGGAGCCCATAGCAGCGTGCCCAGGCAGGCCAGTGCCAACCGACACCGGGTTCCAGGCCCCACTGGGCACGTTGGTGCATTCGACAAGTATTTACTGAGTGCCTTCGGCAAGCCAGGACTGTTCCCGACACAGGTGACAGGCAGGCACAAAGAGCCCTGCCCTCCTGGGCTGCGCTTATGCTCCAACGAGATCCCCTCGAGTTGAACTAAGGGAAACCCCAGGGCCTGCTGCCTGAGAAGTTTGGAGACAACCAGGCAGGTGAGGAGGCGGCGTGGAGGGAGGATCCCTGGTTAGCACCGGCTCCCAACAGGAAAAGACCCAGAGGTGCGGGAACAGGGGGACGGGCGGGGCGGAAAACGGGCTCGGCTCCAAGGCCCCCAGCTGGGGTGTCTCCAATTCCTAATGTTTAATGAGGAGGTGCCCTTGGGAGGAGTGGACTTCCTAAACCCCAGACTCGCCTGCTGGGTGTGATGGCCGCAGGGTGGCCGAGCCCTTCTTAGGGGAGGGGTCCTTGGGACTCAGGCGGGTGGGAGACCCCGCCTAGCGCACGGCCTCGGGCGGACCTCGGCGCAGGGGAACCCCACACGCTGCCTGAGGGCACGCGTGGGGTCCCGAGGAGGACAGGGCCAGGGACACGGAGCTCGAGGAGCCGGCCTGCCGAGGCAGAGCGACATACCCAGCGGCCCCGCCGCCCGCCGCCCCCAGCCGCAGCGCGTCAGCCCGGCGCGGCCTGCCATTGGTCGGGGGCGCGGGACCCCGCCCCAGCACCGCCCTGCCCCGCTCCAGTTGGCCGAGCGGCCCGCCCGTCAGAGGCCGCGGCCGGGCAGGGCTTCCGGGAGCGGAAGGCGCTGAGGGCGGTGCCGGGCTGGGTGGCCCTCGTGGGCCGCGGCCTTAGGGGCTGTCTGAGCCGGCGCGGAAGAAGAGCGAGGGCGCCGGAGTCGAGGGTTCCGGGGCGACGGCTTCTCCGGGAAGGCTCGGGCTCTCCCGGGCCGGGGCGGCCGGGTACCGGCGCGAGCCCCCTGAGTTGCTCCGGGAGCCCAGCGCCGGGGCCCTGGGCACCTCGACGGCGCGCACAGCCGCGTCCGCGTCCCCCGTGGCCCTCCCTGCGCCTCGCGGCGCAGTTCACCGAGGGGGCCCCGGAGCGGAAGGGCGGAGCCTGCAGGGTCACTGCGGACGCCCCCTGGGCTTGGTCCTGGAGAAGGCGGAGGGGCCGCCAGAGCGAGGGTCGGGCCCGAAGCTGCGACCTCCAGTGGCCGGGGGCCCGGCAGTACTGCGCCCCGTTCCCCGCAGGTAGCTGCGGAACGGCCGCCTCTCCCTTACCCGGACGCCTGGCAGCTTCGGAAGGGACCTTGGGCGGGGCGCCCTAGGGCAGGAGCGGCAGGAGCAGGGGCGCCTGGGCTGGGCGCGGGCCTGTCAGCCCGCGAAGCTGAGTCTGGCTCAACCTTTTTATCTCGTACGAGGGTCTTGCCTCTCACTTGCCTAGCGCAGCCCCTCCAGGGGCTCCGAGGAGGGGTCCTCTCCCGCACCCCCAAGCATCCCCCAACTTGGGCAAGCCCTGCAGGCTGCCAGCCCGCCCAGCTCCCCCCAAACCCGATGTCCAGCCCTACAGAAGCTCACCGTGTGGCCCAGTTAACCAACGGCGACCGGCAAACGTAATCGAAAAGTTACCATAAGGGTATGAACTTAAGTCTCCCCCTACCCAAAGCACAAACGTGCATATGCTGGCTCCTTTCAAGACTCAAAAACACATGTTTGTGACTTCTTAAAACTTCTAAGTCATGCATAAAACACACTCCGTATTTTCAAGAAAGAACGGCTCAACCTGCCTCTGCTCAGCCGGCGCCCCCCCCCACCCCTCCCCTCGCCGGCTCCGCTGCTCTTCCCCTGAGCTCACCCCACTGCAGGCCTTGACCTTGGGGAGGGCGGGGGCTCACGACGGCGCCGACCCCACGTGTCGTAGCGGTGTCTGGTTGGCTGTGCCGAGGCTCCGGGATCGCTCCAGACGCACGTAGACGCTAAGCGAAAGCAGATACACGAAAGCGGGTGGTGGTGTCCCTTTGCGGGTGCGGACTCGCTGGCCTCCCCTCCAGGTGTCCAGGTCTTCACTTCCCTGGTCCTCAGAGGGTCCTTTCCCACGGTGCTTCCTTTTATCGTGGCATCGGCCACACTTGCCGGCGGAGGTAAGTCCCGTCCTCGTGAGGACCCTCATAGCGCCTCCCACCAGGGAAAGGTGGGCGCGATTCTCCACCGCAGACCGCCTTTGCAGGGGGCTGACACCTGGCCTGTCTGCGCCCCCACCCCCTAGCCTGACTGCGTCTTACCTGCGCCCCAGCACCCCTAGCAGCCGAGGAGCGCCCACGTGCGTGAGGGGCTGTACCCTAGGGGGAGGGGTTCCCACTCCCCCCACCGTCAGCCATAGCAACCGTTGCTAAGAGGTGTGGCTCGGCCCGCAGAGCCAGGCAGATTCCCGCGGATCATAAATATTTGATTATTCAAATTAGGTCCTCCCCCCGTTGCCATGGCGCCCAGGCCCGAAACCCCGAGGCCGGAAGAACAACCCCAGAGTAGGAGAGAGAGCCCGGCGACCGAGGGTGCCCAGGGCCGAGCCCCACGGGCCGGGGCACCCGGGCCGAGCCCTCAGGTAAGAGCACAGCGTGCCTGTGGGTCCTAGGTCTCAAGCCTTTATCTCCCCGACGCCAGAGGGCAAACAGGCCAAGGGGTGGGCGTGAGAATCAAGCAGCAAAGCCAGTGAGGGACTCATTGATGTCCCCAGATGTCAAATCTGGTCCCCTGGGTACCCTGCCTACAACCCCTGGCTGTGTTCTGAGGGGCTCCCAGTCACTGGACAGGAGGCACCCCAAACCCTGCCCCTGGGGGAGAGCCTGGGGTTTCTGGTGGCGATGTAGTGGGGAGTGGAGCCTGCCCCCAGAGCCCCTCCCTGTTTGTTGAAGGGTGGAGAGGCGGAGGGGTCCCAGAGAACTGATGAGCCAGGCCAGGGCTGTGGAGAGGCCCCCAGCTGTCCAGCTCGCAGAGTGGTAGGCAGAGTGGGGACAGGTTTAGGCCAGTGCATGAATGTGAGGGGACAGTGTCTGGAGGGGAGCCACAGCCTCCAGACCAGGCCCTGCTCTTTGGAGCCCAAGACCTCTAGGTTAGACTGGGCAGATACTCGGGGCCTAATTGTGGGCAGGACCTCCTGCCAGCAGCTCTCAGGTACAGAGAGGAGAAGGTAGTGGGCTCAGCCCTCAGTGCTGCCCGTGGGCAACCCAGGGCCGCAGCCTGACCGGCCCATAGCCTGCGACTGGCAGGCCTGACATAGTGATGGGTGGTCTCCCATGGGACAGGGTGGTAGGGTCCTCCTGTGAGGGCAGCAGACCCAGGACCCCTTTTGGAGAGAGGGGAGAGGCAAATGGGGATTTGAATGAGGACCAGGCATTTGCATTAGAAAGACCCCAGCGTCACTCACCCACCTGGCTGTCTTCCTCCTCACCCAGGCCAGGTCCCCTGTCAGGGTGGTAGAAGACCTGAGGGCCAGGCCCCAGGCTGCCAGTCCCACCTCTTCACCTGCTTCTTCTGGGCAGGCCGCCTGGTTCAGGACCTGGCCAACCCGACTCTCTTACAGCTATCACCTGGGCCACATGCTACCCCGTTGCCCGGATGTTTGACCCACGGTGGGAAAAGGCAGCTCCAGGTGAGGGGTCAGTGGGCATGGGTAGGGTGGGGGGTATGTCCACCAGCCTGGTCCTGGGCCCCCCAGGCTCAGAGACCATCTGGTGAAGGACGCATAGCTCAGGGTCGGAGGCCAAGGTTTGCTACTGGTCAGAGAGGGTGACGAAGCAGCCATGCCCAGGAGGCAGCATCCTCAGGCTCACAGCCCAGGGGGGTCTCAGATGGGGAGGCCTGGAGTCAGTGCCCCTCCCGCGGACCCTGAAGGATGGGCAGAAACCCCAGGAGGGTGACATGCCCAGGCAGGGGCTGTGAAGCCCCCAGGTGGGCTAAGTGGGTGAGGGCACTAGAGAGCCTTGTCCAGGCTGGGGTGGGCTGCGGGGTTTGCTGTGTATGGGGACACGTCAGGGCTGTGCTGCCTGCTGGTCAGAGAAAGCGTGAAGGCTCAGCCCTATGGCCTGTCCCGGCAGGTTGCGTGTGAATGGACAGGGCCCGGGGGCCTCGGCCGAGCTCGGCCAGTGTCCAAGTGCGGGAGCTGAGCTGGCAGGGCCAGCACAACCCTCGCCCGCAGAGCAAGGCCCCAGGCAGCCACGGAGGTGGCTGCAGTGAACTCCTGATGGAGGAGTACCTGTCACCTGCCCGACTGGTGAGTGCTGGGAGGTGGGGAGCCTGCATGGGTGACACTCCGGGGCTGATGTCCAGCATGTCCTCTGTCCCTGGTCCTCTGGGCCTTGTCTGTTTGATGGATGCCCTTGTCCCCAGTGTGTCCCTGGCACTCAGGCCGTGGAAGGGACCGAGCCAGGCAGGAGCCTACAAGTATTTGCTCAGCACCCCCCGTGTGCTGCGCTCTGAGGACCTCTCTGTGGACGCAACAGAAGGTCCCTCGCCGAGCAGCTGACATTCTGGTGGGAGGCAGGGTGGCAAACATGCAAGCACAGGGCACACCAGGTGCGAAGGGCCAGGAACAAATGAAAGCACAAGCTGCCAGGGTCCCACTGATTGTCCCTGGGGCAGCTGGTGAAGGCTTGCTCCCAAAGGTGCCGTGAGGGTTTGCTGTCCTCCCCCCGCACCAAGGCCCAGCAGGCTCTCCAGGGTCCTGTGACTGTAGGTGCTCACCTGGTGACCCTCCGGGCAGCCCTGTACCTCCCAGCACCCCCACCTTACTTCCTGGCCATGCTCTTTGTCCACCTTTGGTTGGGGTGAGGGGTGGACGCTGCCACTGCCCAGGGCCTCCCTCACCACTCCCACGCTTACACGGGGTGGCATGCACACGGAGAGGGGCTCCTTGGAGACACCTCAGTGATGTGCCCACCAACATGCAGCCTGGCTGCCTGAGGTCCCCGCCCATCTTCCTGACCAGCTCTGAGAAGAGTCCATACTGGTCCCTGCAGGTGGGTGGAACATTCCCGCCCAGGCCCCTGCCACTGGCCCCTCGGTGTATGTGGCCCTCCAGGCACACCTGCCTAACCAGTGCTCCTGTCCAGCATGGAGCTGTCAGCATGAGCTGTCACATCAGAGCTGGTCCACCCACCAGCTTGTCCAACCCCGGGAACAGACAGGCTCAGAGCTGTGGGCCCCGTCCAGGCTGGCCTGTGATGCTTATGAGGTCTGGGTTCAGAGATGGCAGGCAGACGTGTGGGAGGGGCCAGTCCCACGGAGCTGGGATGCTGGTCCTGTCCCAGGCCCTCCTGTGGCCGTAAGGAGCCTGGGCTACACTGAAAACAGCCTGACTCTGAGGGGGCTCTAGGCACCAACCAGTCTGCAGGGGGCGGGAGCGTCCTCTGGTGGACAAAGCAGCTGGCCAAGGACACCCTGGAAAGCAGGACAGGGTGTCACTGGGTCCAGCCTGACCATGCCCAGAGAATGCCAGAAGCAGGGTGCAGCAGGGCAGTGACCCCCGTGGCACCTGGCTGGGCCTACAGGTCGACCTGGCCTCGTCACGTGCCCAGCACCACACAGCAGGGGCGTTGCCACCAGGCCAGGCTGGGACAGACCAAGAAGGGCCACCTGAGAACCCTCGGGCTGGAAGTGACTTCGCCCCTCCCCAAAGCTGAGGAGATGGGACAGGCTCGGGCAAGGCAGCCACGGTGTCAGTCCGGTGAGCCCCGGGGACGTCCCGGTCATGGTTGCTGCAGACAGTCCTGCCACTCACTGGAGTGTCTGTCATTTCCTTTGTGTGTCGCGTTCATTCGTGGGGATGGTGCCCGAGTACATGGGGGCGTTGGGGCCGGTGTGGTCACTGCACCCCCTTGGGCCTCTCCAGGGCTAATCTTCGTGACTCTAAGGCACTCTGCAGCCGTCCTTGGCGGACTCTCCTCTCTACCTGGGCCCCATGGTCTCTGTCCCTGTCACCTGTGGCCACATGACGTTGATCACAAGCCAACCAGACTCTGACTGCAACGGCAGGCGTCCCTGCCCAGACTCAGGGGTCATTGTGGTCCTGCTGGGACCCAGGCTGATGGAGCCGCCCAGCGCTGCCCTCATGGTGGGCAGCCAGGAGTGGGCAGCAGATTGAGTACAGGCACACGCTCAGGGGTTCACCTCTGAAGGACTTGTCTCAGGGGACCCCCACGGCCAGCCTGCACTGGTGGGACCAACCACTCACCGCTTGAGAAGGGAAGAGGAGTGCTGCCTGGCAGTCACTGCGACACCCACTAGCTGAGTGTTTGCCGGTCTTGTGCTGGCTGGTATACTCCTCTTGACTAGAGCCCACTCTGTCCACCCTGGGACCCCCTTCCTTGTCCACCAGGCTCCTGACCTGTGTGGATGTGGTTCACACATCTGCTCCTGACGGTCATGGTCCGCCTCAGTCCAGGACCATGGTCAGCCAGGACAGCCAGTGGCCCAGAGCCCACGTGCTTTTTAACAGATTCAAGTCTGGCTGAAGCGAGGTGCTAAAAGCCACACCGGAGCTTGTTTCTTGCCTTCTGGGGGATGTGACTTCCCCCTCCAAAGAACCCCCAGAAGCTGTAGAGGCAGGTGGGCCCCTCCTGGACTCCTCCCTGAGGCTGAGTATGATGGGTCATTCTAACTTCAAGCCCTTCTCAGTTTTTCGTTCTGCTGATTGGAGTTCAAGCCCACACGTTCCAAAATTCCCGCTGAACGCTGCCTCGTATGGCGCCTCATCCAATGCCGTGGCCCGTGGCCCGCTCACGCTGCCCACACCTTGCTTGGGGCCTCTCCGCCCAATGTCACAAGTTCATCATGTGCATTTTTTCTGCCACCATTTTACCAAAAACTCATTGTGTGACATGGTCTCCATCTTTGCAGCTCTGGTAACAGTCTCTTCGCTCCCCCAACCCAGTCCCAAATCCAGTGTCATGTTGTGTAGTTGTGTTGCTTTGGGCCCTGCATTTTGTGTGTTGGCTGTTGCTGTGAAGACGCCGAAGCTCCGAGCAAACACCGCTCGGCAGCCCATGGTGTGAGTGCACTCGGCCGCGCTCCCCACAGCTGACCTGGCCTCATCAGGTCCTCTGTGGGTCTCACCTGGAGACACACCAGGGTAGGCCCTTCTCTGGCAGTGGTGCCACTTGCCAAGCTCAGGTACAGCCTCTGCTCATGTCACATCCACTCAGAGCCATTTGTGGCTGTCAGCACAGACAAGGCAGGGAAGAGTCTGCCCCCTGCTCCAGCCTGGAGGCCAGTGGGAGGGATGTCAGTGGAGGGAGCGAGTGTCTGCTGTCCAAGCCCCAGCGCTGACCGCCCACGGCTTCTGCAGCGGGCGCTGGCCCAGATGCCTGACCTCCGGCTGGTGAGCACGCTGGAGATGTGTGTCGATACGCGCGAGCACAGCCTGGGCAACTTCGGTGAGAGCCCCTGCCTATCCACTCCCGCCACTGGCAGGGCCAGCGCGCTCAAGCCCTGCCCACCAGGCTCTGGTCTTGGGGCCAGGGCACCCCACGGGCCTGCCCTGCACCCCTCTGTCCAGGGACTGGGGACTCTGTCAGGGCCAAGGCACTGTTCTTTGTATAATAGGAGTCAGCAGCTCAGAACTCTCTTGGGGACGGGTGGGCAGCGACACCGGCTGGGGATCCCTGTGCTGTGGCACCCAGTGCTACTAGCTGGTGAAGGCTATGGTCCGGGGGTGCCTGGGGCGGTGGGCAGGCCATATAAGGTGGCTGGGGGCAGGACCCAAGCTTTGGGAGTCAGCTCCTAGAGTCCAGTGGCCTGGTGGCCTCCCATGTGACCCTCTTGGTTCAGGAGCACCTTCCATACCCTGCCCGGCCTGCTTCATTCGAGCCTGGCTGAAGACAGACTTGGTGCCACTGGGCCTCAGAGCAGCCAGCGGGCAGCAAGGCAGAGGGACGCCAATGCCTGTGGAGGGTGTAGGCAGGCGAGCAGGCAGGCGGGCAGCCTCTGACCTCTCTCTGTGACCCACAGGGCTGCACCTGCCCAGCCTCAGCCAACTCAAGTTGAATGGCAGCCGCCTGGGCTCTGTGAGGTGAGTGTCCCTCCTGGGGACCATGGGGCAGGGAGAGGGTGTCCTGCCCTGCCTGGGGGTGGTGTCCTGCAGCGGCTGATGGGACGGCTCAGTTAGGCCGAGGTCTGTCCTGGCTGGGTCCCCGTTGAGAGACCCCTGGTGCCCAGCTGGCCCTCATGCCATCCTTCTGGAGTGTCACCCACCCCTGGCCGATTGGAGGCACCTGCTGAGGGGGACACCAGGGCCTGTGATCAGGGATAGGCCAGGTTGTGTGTCTGATGAGGTCTCCAAGGGCCACCGTGCTGGGTGTGGAAGGCGCCGCTGACCTTCATTCAGCAAAGGGTCTCCAACCAGGAGGGCGCTGGTGGATGCCCCGACACCAACCAAGGCTTCAGGGTTTCTGGCGTCCCCACACCAGGAGGGCCGGGATCTTGGGGGTGGCACTGGAGCCATCAGCGCGTAAGGAGAAGAGCAGATGGTCACAGCCTGTGCGGGGCGGGCCGCAGACCCCACATCCAACAGCAGCACTTTCGCCGTTGACGTAAAAGGCAGATCCACAGCTAAGGACAGGTTCATGGTTTCTGTTTAGCCCACGGGGCTGGAAAGAACAAAGCTGAAGGAACATCAGACTTCGTTGTTGGTCTTTGAGCAACACAGGTTTCATGAAAGCCCCGCTGTTGTGTGTGGCTCATTGGCGGGAGACAGGGACACCAAAGTTCCAGGCGATTCTCCGAGTTCCCCGTCCAGTGGTTGCCATGTGAGGACATACGGGTAGTTACTAAGCAGCCTCACTGTCCATGTTTTCTTGATCTATCTCATTCATACTGATGTTCACCAAAGAGAATTTAATAAAACACTGGGAGAGTAGGGCGGCCGAGTGGCGCGTTGGTTAAGAGCTGGCTTGGGACGCCAGAGGGCCCCGGTTCAGATCCCACATATGAGGGCCAGTGACACTGCCCTCCACAGCTAAGATGCTGAACAACAGCTCAACCTGGAGCTGGGCTGCCATGAGTCGCCAGCGACGGCGTAGGCTGCAGCCCCTGCTGCAGTGGGTTGCCATGGGCTACCGTGTGTAGCCAGCAGCCAGCGTGAGCGGCCGGCAGCTGCGTCCAGAAGCCGGCGACTGATCTGCCTCGCCTGGGAAGAGCGCAATGATGGTGCCAACTTGGGCCAGTGAAGCAACGTCCTCCACAACTAGACTGAAGAACAAAAGGACAGCAACTTGTCTGTTCCCCTTCCCCCAATTCCCCAGCGCTGTTCCCATCCCCAAATTAAAAACAAAAAACAAAAAAAACACTGGGAGACTAGATGCGGATGGCCGTCGGTGCTCAGTGGGCAAAGCTGGCTGGCCCCGGACTCCTGCCTCACACCGTGCCCTGCGAGGAAGGGGCTGGAAGACAGGCTTCAGAAACACCCCTTGATACATGCTTAAGCGATATTCTGACGGCTGTTACTGCTTGAGTTTAACAAAGACTTATTCCTACATTGTGAATGCTTACAAATTAGCTCAAAGACCAATAAAAGTACATAAAAAGCATATAAAGGATGAAAACCATAAAAAGAAGTGGAAGGTATAAAACCCGGAAATATGTAAAATCTGGAACAAAACAAAATACTCAAGTCCAAGAGAACAGAGGAAAAAAACAACTCCAATTAAAATGATTAGATCATAAAGGTTATGAAAAGGTGTTGTGTTCCTTGATGACAACAGAGAAAAATGTCATGGATCTTTAAGTGTTCTGTTACTGAATCCCGAAACTTGGCCAGATAATGTTTGCCAGTGATGGGAACAAAGATTTGTACAAGGAAACCATGTAATTAAATATGACAACCCAATAAACTAGTAGAGATATAAGCACATTCAAGTCTCAGGCAGTATTACAAGGGCTGGGACATCATTTTATGTCATGGCTGTCCGTCAGAAGATGAGCCAGAATTCAGCACCTGGACATGTCACCGGTGTGAAGACATGTCCTGTACAAGCAGGGGCTGCTTTCCAGCCATCGGCGGCGAGCGGCGGGACGGGATGGGGAGGCCCAGGCTGGGCCCCTGTGCTTCTCCAGCCTTTACTTGGTATAGCTGCGTAGGGGCCCGGGGGAGTCACACCCAAAATCTCTAAGCCTGTACTGCGAATTGGAAATCGTTAAAGTAACTGAACAGACAGCTTCCCTGTCAGTCGCTTACGTTTCTCTGGTGACTGAGGGTCGCCCGCTTCCCTTGCTGGAACCACTGCTCAGGTGGGTTCTGCCTTTTCCTCCTTGGTTCCTAGGAGTTCTCTGTACAGCCTGGGGGCCTCGTAGCCTTCCCCAAATCATTAACGCTAACTGTGGGGCCTCACTTACACAGAGACACGCTGTTCTGGTTTGTTCCACCCGTTGGTCCCAGCCGGTGCTCTGGTTGTGACTTAAGGGGTTTGATACAACCCCAAGGTCCTGGAGAGATTGTTTCCTCCTGTTTGTTGTGTGGCTTCATTTTTTACTTGCAGTCTGTAGCCCAACTGACCTGCGAGGTCAGCTTGGATCATGTCACTTCTCCCAACACCACCTGGCCGGAGGCCCATCATCCCTGTGAGTCCACGTGTCGCATGTGTTCACGGGCTGTGTCTCATCTGCTGGGCGGGTCCTGCACCAGCACCACCGTGCGATGTGGCTTCATGTTAATGTGTGACTATCTGACATCGTCATCTTGGGTTTCCTCTTTCCACGTGGACCTAGCTACTCTGAAAACGTGCTCTTGCGTTTGAACCTTACAGTTAGCTTGTTGGGTTTCACACTCACTGATCTTTCCGGAATTTTGGTTTTATGGAATTAAAAAAAAAAAAGCGTTCATGTGCCGAGGCGGGTTTGTTAAGTGATGTGCACCCACAGATATGGTACAGCTCTCCCTTCACTGGAAGTCGTTAAACTTCTCTGCACGGTTCATCAGTTCAGATGATTTCAGATGCGAGTTACAGAAACCTGTGTCCAGAGCCCAAACGATGAGAAATTTTTTATTCCCTTGGGGTGCGCTGGGGGCCTCCGCCTGTTGGACGGCCTGAGAGAGCCTCAGCGTGCAGGATAGACCAGAGGCCCGCCTCCCCGGGGGCAGACAAGCAGCTGGGCTGGCTCTTCCAGCCACACCTCTCCCCCCGCCCCCCAGTATGTGGCCCCTCATCCTTATGTGGGTTCCCTCATACTGCATGGTGGCTTCTGTGCCACAGGCACCCTGAGCATTGGTGGGGCTGCCAACAAAGCCCATGAACCTGTCAGCCAGTTCTGGAGGCCAGAGGTCAACATCAAGTGTCCGCAGGGCTGGTTCCTTCTGAGGACTTGAGGAAGAACCCATGTCACACTCCCCTCTCCTCCTTGGTGGTGGCCAGCGATCCAGGGGTTCCTGGGCTTGTAGACGCATCCCCTTCTCTGCCTTCGTGTTCATGTGGCGTCCCCCCTGTGTGCGAGCCCATGTCCACAGTTCCCCTTCTCATAAGGACACAGCCACATTGGATCAGGGCCTGCCCTGCTTCAATGTCATCTCATCTTTTATTTTTTATTTTTTATTGGGGAATTGGGGGAAGGGGAGCAGACAAGTTGCTGCCCTTTTGTTCTTCAGTCTAGTTGTGGAGGACGTTGCTTCACTGGCCCAAGTTGGCACCATCATTGCGCTCTTCCTGGGCGAGGCAGATCAGTCGCCGG